CATATATTTATAGTTTTAATGTCTTTTGTAAGTCGCCCAGAGTCCCCTATTGTGGGGGAGATGGGCAGGGGAGACATCCAATAAATAAATAAATAAATAAAGGAAGGGAAGTCTTATCTCACACAAATGTCTGAAGGAGGAACCAAGAGTTTGACAACTACGTTGCTTCCCATTTCTAGAACTACAGGCCTGAACTGAATTTTCTTGTTCCTCCAAATACTTTGTTTCAGGACTGGAAACCGTCAGCGGAGGGGGGGGAAAGGTTTCTCAGGATGGGGGCCAAACAGAGCCTCTTAAATGGCCAGCAAGCTGCAGAAGGCCTTCTGCTGATGTAGCGCCAACAGTGGAAGGGACGGTGCTGAAAAACAGTGGTCCATGTTTCCTCGTTTGGGAGAGCTGGGGCATTCATGGGCAAGTAATTAACTTCCAGCATTTCCACTTTTTTGTTTTGTTTTTAAGCCAGACAATGTCCCCACTCCGTAATTTGGATAGTTTGTCACTAAATTTCTGCAGCACGATCTCAGGGTGCTTCAGGAGCTGCAAAAGGATGGGGTTGGCCACCCTTGCTTTAGCATCAAGTAGCATCACAAGGAAAACTCAAGTACTGGAAGAAAACAGGTATCCTTTATCACTTTCTCAGTCCTGAAAATCACCCTTTCCCCCCTCCCAAATAAAAGTCTGAACAGCGTGAATCAGGAGCCAAAGCAGGAATATTCACGGGGACAAGAATTCTTGATGGGACCCTAAGAGCATCCAGTCCAGGCCTTGCCAAAGCGGAGTACCTACTCTTGAGGCATCCCTGAAGGACAGCATAACCTTCTGCTTCCCAACCTCAAATGAGATCCACCACCTTCCCAGACAGCGTGTTCCCTATTAAGTAGCTCATACTAAAGTCACTCCGAAGTGTAATGTTTTTCCTTTGCCCATTAGTTTTTCTGCTACACCCTGAAGCAAACGGCTAGTTTGCTATGTCATCCAGGTAGTTGGTTCAAGGTTCAACTTGGAGTTCTGAATGCAGGGCAACTGCCTGCATTCCAAAAGTGACCGAGAGAGGTAAACAGAAAATATCCCTTTTGGAACATAATACACCACCACCACCGTGGAAAGCAACGTTTATATAAAGAAGGTCTTTTTGCTTAATTTGAATTCAGTTTCTTGAAAGGCTAAGATGACCAGAATGAATTTAAGTCACTGCAATTTATCTTATAAAAATGCAGGCCTCTTCCCAATAAATCTTATTCTATATCAGGTCTATATTTCTGTACGAATGGTGTCCTTCTCAGCATCTTCATCTCCTCTCCTCTCAAAAAGAATTCCAGAAGTAATGAAAAGAACGTCATGCTTTATAGGATGGGTGCAGCCCACGTGGGGGTCCCTGGGGATACACATTTTAACATGCTAATTACCTCCACAAAAATTACTCCAGACCATTTCCAAACTTTATAAAATCTGAATGGTAACAAGTGACAGCACATAACACACATACTCCAACGTTCCTGTCTGAATTAAGAGCATGTACGATTATTTCTAAAAGGATCCTAGACCAGGAAAAAAAATCTAATTTCTGTCTAAGCAATTTAGAAAATAAAGCACTTGAAACAATTCTTATCTATACAAAATACAGGCATTATGAAATGATGCCCATCACTTTACCTCCTTAGGTTATCATTTGCTTTTCAGAGCTGCCTAGGAGCCATTATGGCAAATCTATCTACACGATGTAAGATAAAATCAAAGGCGGTGGCCATGCATTACTTGAAGATAATCTGAATAAAGTTTTCATTATCTTTCATTATCTGATAACAATCAAAAGATTTTACCTGTATGGACAGATCCATCCGATCCATTTGCCAGCGACTGGAAGTCAGCTAACACTCCAGAGCTTTCCGCGCTTATAGATGGTGAAAGTTCTGTCATGCTCTCCATCTCTTACAAAATATCTTAAGATAAAGGAAGAGAATCTTGATAGTCCTTTAAGGGAATAAAGGGGCAGAGCTGGCTTTCTTCTAAGTCCACCATTTTGATGAGGTCAATTGTGTCCATCAGCATGGATCCCATGTCTGAAAGGTAAACACAGATTTTGCAAGGCAACTGAAGCCATTCATTTGTGGTGGGTAACCCGCTCTACCCCCTGCCCTTAAGCCTTTTGAGCCAAGGCTGGCTCATGGAAAGAGGCTGTGTGTGTTTGGAGGCAACACAATTCCTGCAATGGCTTGGGCGGGGGAAGCCATCATCATGAGACCAACGTCTCATCCAAAGATTCACGTACAACACACAAATGCTCCTTCTTGTGGCTGGGAACTTTGGTGGCGCAAATGCTATCTCAGACTCACGGCTATTTCTGATGGCTCAAACGCAAGAAAGAAACTGAAATAAAACTTGCAATCATATTTATCACTTCCTGTGACTCAACAATTCTCACTGGAAGGCGATGGGACAGGGTGAGGTTAGAGCTCGGGGGTTGTGTTGCTCAATGGACAGTTGCGGGCCATCTGGAGTTGTTCTTCAGAAGATGGGTGGCCATGTAAGTCTTTTAAAGAAATAAATTATGCCTCTTTAAAATATAATTTGCCTTTTTGGGCCAGTCAAAGGAATTGGCCATGACATCTTTGAAACAATGCCTCACGGAGATTTTTGCTCAGCCTACTGATCCTCTTTTTAAATTCTTACCCAGGAAAGTCCCCCCTACTATATATTCAGTGCAGGGTTTTTCAACCTCAGCGACTTTAAGACTTCAACTGGGACTTCTGGGACTTCAACTCCCAGAACTTCCCAGCCAGCATAATTTAAGGGGAAGGACCACAGTCCAATGGCCAAGGGTTGCGAAGAAGCTTGGCTGCACTGCCCGTTTTGAGCATTTCTAAGCAATTTGGATCCTCGAATCTCCTTTCCCTTGGGAAAAATCTGCCAAGCAAGCATTAGGCCCTCCAACAAAACCAAACAGAACAGACATTCGCAGTTTCCCCCAGCACACATCACTGGAGACAGTCCCATCCCTGCTCAGTCAGGGTGGGGCTTCAGAGGGAGACCCGAGGCCCCGTTTATTTCGTCATTCTGGAGCTCCGTGCCAAGGCAATGCCAACACACACGTTATTAGCATCGGTTAAGACTGGAAGAAGCAACCCACATTTTCTGGCACCCGTTCTGAGGCCCCCCGGGGCCAAAAGGTAAGAAAAGCTTCTGGGAAGTTCTAAGCAAGCTGGTATTTCTCATGGGGCGGAGGGCTTTGAAAGTGCAAAATAGGTGCCTCAACTCCCTGCAAGGCTTAAGACATCCACCCTTAACCCTCCCCAAGATGATGCCCCACCCTCTATTTGCCCTCCCTGCAGGCCAAACATAGAAAAGGGTATGGTCCCTGGCGGCAAAAAAGGATGACCAGCCAAGAGGTAGCCAGAAGCCAAGGCATACATTAACAATCCCTTCTGCGTAGCACATTCATGCCAAAACCGCCAGATAGAGCCAATTTTCCCTTCTTCTTACCTGTGATTCCCCACCATATTTGCCATCTCTCATTTTTAATGGTTGGGTTTGAGGGGATTTAATAAGGCTCTTTCCTTCTCACATGTATCCCCCTGGGGTATATCGCGGGGGACATATTAAGGAGAGAGAGAACACCCTTGTGTTGCTGTCTGAGTTGGCTTTCCCTGTAAAGCGATCAAGTAAAGTTGCACCATCGAACCTCAAGGAAGATCATCACCGGAGTGACTCTCGCTAACATTCGTTAGAACAGGACTTTCTCACGACTTACCTCTAGGGATGCACGCTTTGGGTTTAAAAAGTATTTCATTTTAGTCTTCTCTTTCATTACTAAATGTGGCAACAAAAGCATGCTGAGCACATACCGAAAACCACCAACTTAGTCACTGGCAACTGTGATGTCAATGAAGATGCCTATGATTTGAAAATCCACCTTATTCCTGGTTTCTGTTGTTTATACTAGTTTTTTGGATAAGCAGACCTTCTTTACATGGTATTTTGAAAAGTCAGCTCTATACGGGTGAAATCTGAATTGCTTTGAAGCTCAGATGCTCTCATTGTTTTCCCATACAGAAAGACAACCTGCAGCAAAAGTTAACATTTGCAACACAACCCTCTAAGTATCTATCTTAAAGCCAGTCCCACCAAGCTCGAGACCTGGATCCCAAGTGAGTGCATGACAGCAGGCTTGCTCTTACAGAGGACTACTTGCGTCTGAATGAGTTTCACTGACTTCAACTTAAGAGAGCTAAAGTAGCAAAAAAGCATGGGATTTTGATTCTCTTTCAGATAATATAAAATGAGGTTAAAAAGACTGGATCTGGTCACACAGCAGCACAAACTTTCCAGAAGTAATGTACTATAAATTAAGCTAGGAGACAAGGAAGCTGTCCTCTGCAGAAGGAAACCCAGTAACAGTTAAAAAACAGAAGAAATCGTGAATGCTTGAACCTCTGTGACAAAGGCGATGCCTACAAAGATGTCAGTTGCTCTAAAGATATGCAAAGAGAATCCTTCATGTATCAGTCTACTGAGGGGTTGGCACACAAAGTCAAGGAAGAAATCTGCGGTATTCCAGTGCCCACCTTGTAAAGAATCTGCTGGAAACATTACCCACACCTTCTGCCACCAATAAATCTAGTTAACTCAGAATGGGAGGAAAATTTTCTTCTGACTTACAAATTGTTGACTCAAGATCTGGAGATAGCTAGCTAGACTCAGTCACTACTAGTTGAAGATTAGCTGACCTTCCCCTTCTCTGGGCAACCTAAACTGGAAAACCTAACTCGAAAAGGGAGTGGGAAAGGACGAGAACGAGGCAAAGTGATTGACTTATGAATTTAGGAACCTGACACTATCCAAGTCGTTTATAAAAGAGAAAGTAAAGATAGAACAGGGAAGGAGAGTGGTAACCATGCACTGTAATATAAGCAAATCAATTACTATAAAAATATTTACCATCGCCAAATTGAGCCTTTCACGGTGCTTAAAAATAGATGGAGTGGGACTCTGAATGGGCATCTTGCCCCTTTTCATTTGGATCATGGGATGATCATGAGTGACTGTTAAGAAGCAACTGACGACAGGCAGACCTTCAAGCTGCTG